TGAGCACCAGTGGTGCAATTCGGCTGGTTCTATCCAGTTCGGGTGAACAGGTAGCTGTGGCGAAGGGAGGCTCCGCCTACCCATCTGGACGTCATCATGTCCCATTTTGACTCTCTGCACATGCGCGGAAGGTCTTCCGCATGCGGGGAGGTGGCGTGTGCGAGCCAAGAAAGTGTGTGCGCTCACATTTGCAAACCGGTAAAGAAGGTAAGTTGATTTCACCCCTGCTGAGCACTCTGAAATGAATTATCTGAAAATGAACAGGGAATCTAGAGGTACCCAAATGCCCTTTCAACACAAGTAGTCCTCAAATTACAGCCATTTGCTTGCTGACTATTGAGAGTTAAACCATTGAAAAAAAATGACTTGATTGTTTTTTACACTTACAATAATTGCAAATTTGGGTGCTTGGCAACTGGCATGTATTTACAATAGTTAGTGTCCCACAGTCATGTGATACCATTTGTGTCCTTCCCAAGTGGCTTCCAGCAAGCAAAGTCAAGGAGGGAAGCCAGATTTGCTTAATGACATGATTCACTTAACCATTGCCGTGATTTGCTTAACAACTTTGATGAAAAAAGGTTGTAAAATGAAGCACAGCCGCCTTGCTTAACAAGATAAATTCTGGGCTCAGTTCTGGTGGTAAGCTGAGAACTATCTAGCTTTAAAAATCTGGCAGTCCGTTGTGTTCTAATGTCATGAGTTCCTCTATTAATCCACATGGATATGGCAACATAGTCCAGTCTTCATGGGGGAAAGCATCAATGCAAAGCTGTTTCCTGAAGTTAATTATTCCTATGATGGCAAATTTAAATGGCCTTAGATGAACTTTAAAAAGAAAATGAAATTGGCTTAGCTACTGTTTGGAGGAGAGATAACCTGGAAATTCCAGGAGTACAAATTTGATTGAAAAGCTTGAAACCACGCCTTGGTAGAAGACAATGGCATATCAGGACTGCATTGTTGCCAAGAAAATAAAAAAAGAGTCGTTTTTCTTCCTAAGGGCTGTAGAATGGGTGGTATCTTGAGTTTTTATAATCTGATTAATATAATATATAATATAACAACGGAGTTGGAAGGGACCTCGGAGGTCTTCTAGTCCAACCCCCTACTTAGGCAGGAAACCCTACACCACTTCAGACAAAGGGTTATCTAAGCTCTTCTTTAAAACTTCCAGTGTTGGGGCATTCACAACTTGTGGAGGCAAGTTGTTCCACTGATTAATTGTTCTAACTGTCAGGAAATGTCTCCTTAGTACTAAGTTGCTTCTCTCCTTGATTAGTTTCCACCCACTGCTTCTTGTCCTACCCTCAGGTGCTTTGGAGAATAGCTTCGCTCCCTCTTCTTTGTGGCAACCCCTGAAATATTGGAACACTGCTATCATGTCTCCCCGAGTCCTTCTTTTCACTAAACTAGGCATACTCAGTTCCAGCAACAGTTCTTCATATATTTTAGCATATTTAGCAGATTAAATAAAATTAGATTTGAAATATCTTTAATTTCCCCTGTGCTAAAAATAAAGATGAAAAGTACTTAATTTTGTATGGATGGCAACAATATATTAATTTATATCATTCATATTTGAAATATGCCTTTATGGTGTTTTTTATTCTGCATCTTTAAAGGATAATTTGAATTCATTAACAATGCTTACCAGAAACTCACTATATTTCTTTTCTGGGTGCGAAGCTTGTGAATTCAGAGAACAATTTTTGTATCCAACTTTTAAATCATTTGGCCCAAGAACTTATGTAAAATTTTCCATCCCAACCACATGCCAAGAATCCATGAATGGCAAAGGCTAACATGAAGCCACCCACGTTTCTAACCAGAATGCTGTAAAATATGCTATTTGTTAATATTTTTCATACATACCAATGCCACACTTTCTTTGACCCAGGAAGATGGATTGGGTTCAAATCTTGAGACATAAATCACAAAACGATCCGGAAATACACGCAATTCTGTATAAGTATAAGAACAAATACATTTTGGAAGCTTTTTAACATAATGAAACTTCAGAAGCACTTTCTATATTATCTAATCCTTTAGGTTTTTAAACCCTGTAACATCTTTTTTTGATCAATTGAGTTCCATAATCCTTTTTTTGTTTTGTTTTGTTTTTGGTTGACAGGCAAAAATTATTAAAGTTAAGAACTAAATTTGAAAAATAAAATGTCAAGATTTTTCCATTGGAATATGCAAAAATACTTGGCTGGTTTTTCCTCCTATTCCAATTCTATCTTACAAGATTTTTTCCCCAAATATTTTAAAAACACCCTTTTATGTCAATTTTTCTCCAAGTTTGATGGCAGATAATATCATCTCACCTACGATGACAATCAGAGACACAAAACAAGAAATCAAATAATTGATGTCACATTCTCGTGAATTCCTATAACCATTTGTTTTATAATATAAAGTTATTTGCCTAGTTTTAATTGTATTTATTTTTATTTCTTTGTGGTATTTATTGATTTTCACTGTTAGCAGCCCTAGTGATACACCAACAATACTGCACAGTCTTTCAATGAGCAAAGATTGGGGCAGGTGGGAATTGTAAACTCAACATTAATATGGTACAGTATTAGAACAAAACTCTAACAAGCTAACGGAATGAAAGGTGACATTGTAATAAATGCCCACTCTTAATATAGCTCCAAGGCTTCCCCTGCCAGAATCATGGAAAGGAAGAGAGGATTTTACTCTGATAGTCATTGCCGACAAGCAGAGTAGGGGGTGGCACTCATTTCTGTTTCAAGGCTATGTGCCATCGTTCTCTGAAAACATCTCCATGGTCATGTGGCCAGCAAGACATCGTAGAGCATTATTTCCTCCCCACCAAAGTGGTACCTATTTATTTACTTGCACTTGCAGGCTTTCGAACTGCTAGATGGGCAGGAGCTAAGTGAAGATGGGCACTGACCCCATTGCACGGGACTCGGGTCTCAAACTTGGGTTGTTGGCTTTCTAGCCAACAAGGCCAACACCTTAACCACTGAGACATTGCGCTGCTGTGCCACAATCATGATGAAAACAAAAAGAAACACTCCCCCCCCCCAAAAAAAGATATATTCCTGAGAAATCCTATGCTGAATCCTGTACAGGTTTCATTATGTCTCAAACAGAATGGTAGTAGGGCAACTCACGAAATCATTTTAGTCTTACTCTGGATTTTCAGAAAAGTAGTTTCTTATGTTGCTATAATTCAAAGCATGATAAAAATGTTGGAAAACCATCGCAGATTATAGTAAGATTTTAAAAAGCACCAGAATTTAAATCCACTTTAAGGAAAAGCCATATAAGTAAATATGGTCTTTGCTACTTTTTTAAGGATAGGTCCTAAAGCAGTGGGTCTCAACCTTCCTAATGCCACGACCCTTTAATACAGTTCCTCATATTGTGGTGACCCCCAACCATAAAATTATTTTATGTTTTCCATATTTTTTTTGAAAATATGTGTTTTCCGATGNGGTACAATCTTTTATAACTTGCCAGTTAACAATGGTCTAACTGGGACTTATTTTCTGAATAACATATTGTATGTGTTTGTGCTGTGTTGCTCGTATATTTTCACATTTCACTTGGATGTTTCCTAACATCCAAGCAGAAAAGTCAGTTTGCTCACAGCTGTTCAGCTTTCCCCCCAAATATCAACAGCACATCTTTCTAACATCTGGATTGGTAGGAAGGCTTTAAATCCCTTTCTTTCATCCAGGATAGGTCGTACGAAGGAGGCACAAGCGGTAGCTTGTCTGTTCTTTCAAATTTCCATCTCTATTCTAACTACGGAAACTCAGCGTGGAACTTTTCTGCCCGTTTGATCAATCAAAAACATATATTCTCTGACCTCATTTTATTTTGTGTGGTATTTTTATTTCTTTGGGGGGGATGAATATACTCAGAATACAATATTCTCTCAAGGCAGCATGGAAAATATAAATAAATCATTTTGAAAAATGTCAATATGAATAAGTTTATGTGATGAAACGGAGAACACACGCACAAACTCTCCAATGCATCCAAATTGAGTTAGCTTTTTTTAAAGGCAAAACTTCTGTAGACAACAAAAATAATCTTTTAAGCTAAAAGCAGTTGGAAATGAAATATATATTTAGGGGTGGTTAAAAACACAAACTAAATCTGTTCCAAAAGGTCCACCAGTAGGCTATGATCAAAAAGGCTCTGCCTTTCAAGCTTCTGAGGGACATTCCAACTTTCCTTCCGGGAGGCACTGAGAGCTCTTGCCTCACAATCAGGAGGTTGCGAGTTTGATCCTAGGTAAAGGTAGATGTAGAGTCTACTAGGGACCTTCAAGGTCCCTTCCAACTCTGTTAATATCTGTTAAAGACTGGTTAAGTCTGCATGAGAATAAGCAATAGTATATTCAGACACAACAACTCAACAGTTGGGGAAGAACTAAGCTGGAGGCTATGAACTCCATACGCAGGAATAATTGGAATCCAATGAAAGATAATGGTTAATAGTAGGCCACTGGAGCTTTATGGATTAAATTCACCTTCCCATATATTCCATAATTCACTCCTGTAATTTTTAAGCTACATTCTTCAATTATCTTTATGTCCACAGTTTTCATGTTTTCTGGAGGGATCTGAGTTCCCAGGAAGTTAGAGTTTTAGATAAGGGGTATATGAAGGACAAACTACTTGGGATCTGTATTCTGCCATTCATAAATCTATTAAATTATTAACGGCCGCCAAGGGATGAGAGATAATTTATTTCTCATTTCCTTCTTTAAGTAGTTGATATCGTCTCTGCATGCTTACTTTTTAATTTTGGGCTCTGAATAAAAATCTGAGTTAAAAAGAAACCTAATCCTACGATTAAATCATCACCCACATATTAAAAGCATCACCATTTCTTATTGAATTTGATTACTTCCACATTATACAATCTACCTATTTGATTAAAAAAAACCTGTGCAGTAATAATCAAAAGATTAAGTAAATGCAACTGTAAATAAATTGATGAACTCTTACCTCTTAAAGACAAAGAATTAGATTCTCCATGTTCTGTTTGCTTGCCCCGACCATGTAATTTACGTGCTTTCAAGTACTGGTTTACTCTTGATTCAACTGCATCCTTCAGCAAAAGACAGACTTCCTGGGAGATAATTCGTCTTAAAGTGAGTTTAAATATAAAGACTGAGAAGAACATTTTTTCTACTTATTGCATATAATAATATGCTTCTAACAAAACTTGTGATTTGCAAGTTAAAGAACATTGCAAGTACATTAAAAAATCAATGATTATTAATAAAGCACAATATTACCGACAAATAAGTTGCTTAGTATTTTTTTAACGAAAAGAAAGAATATAATTTGTTTTCTAAATAAAATACACGTTTTCCCATAGACCAAATTTAAAGATTTTTTTTTGTTTTTGTTTAAATTCTCTATGCTATGGGCCACTGTAATATATACAGAACAAAATGACGGGAGAAGTGGTAATAAAGAAAACAGATATATGCTTCTTCCTGCATAAAATTTGTTCTGCACTGAGACAGTTGAGGTGGATTTATAAGATCATGAACTTCTTGAGATCAATTTCTTTACATATTTTTAAAGGTAGGAATGATTCGTCTTTACCTCTCTCTGATGATCAGAAAACCACATACGGTCCTGAGATGCAATATGGAAATCTACCAAGACTGCAAAGTTTCCACACTTGGGGTAGTGTTTGGAGATATCAGAGAAATAAAAATAAATTGACAATTAAATTATACGTTGTCAACAAGCATAAATATTTACTTAATTAAATAAGAGAATCAACTACAGGATCAAAACATTAAACAGTAGACATTAAAAACATTAAAATTAATGGTAAAGCAGATTAAAAAAAACCAATGTGCAGACAGGGTGGAGGTAATTGATATATTACTTAGCCTTAGGCTTTAATTTAGTAAATTAACTGTAGTCCCTGCTTTTCATAGATTTTATATATAATTGAAAATAACATAGGATATAATATTGGCAGATCTGCCCACTTAGCTGTCTAAAGGACCGTGATATTTATTAAAAATCTAAACTCAAGTCATCATCGGTATAATGTGTCTTGAATAAACTTCAGCAATAAAATAAATAGCCTAATTAATGCCATATTTATTTAATGTTTTTATTTTAATTACACAGAGGCTACTCTAATGTTTTATATTTCATATTTAGTACTGTAGATCAGCTTGGATATTTGCAAATTCAAAAGGATGGGAGATAAATTCAAAAATATATAAACAAATACTGTACAAATACATTTTTGTTGTTTAAAAACCCCCGCCATTGTATGCTGTCCCAGAAATCTATCTCATTCTGTTGAAATGGATTGGGGTTGCCTTTTAATCAACTCATAAGATACAAGTGCTTCATTCACCTACGTGCATTTGGTACAGTATTCAAAGCAGAGATTTTAGATTGCACTGTGACAAAACTCAGCTATTCTACAGGTTTACTAAAGTAGTGTGAACATTCAATTTTAGTAAGGGCTGACAAGGCAGCTTGCTGGTAAATTTTAACTATCACTGAACACTAACAGAATTAAATTAGGACATTAAAATGTTGCAGGTTGGCATTCTGTGGTAGGCCCTTTATATTTATTGACTGTCAAAATGTGGGCTAAGTACAGTAATTCATATGAGCCCAACTAGCCACTTGAAAACTATTCTTTGTAATAGTCTGTGTGGACAGTGCTGTCATTACTTTCCTGAGTCTCCAACAATGTAAGGCCACTTGATCTTCCTTGTCTCAGTTATGGCTGATGGCCTGATAGGTAACTCTGACCTCCCCTCCTATCAAACGCCACAGCCCAGATCAGATTCCATCAGAAGCGACAGCACTTATTTATTATAATTCATTCACATGAGTTAAGGTAACCTCAAGGTCCTACAGTAAATATCCAGGTACAACTTTAAATCAAGTGCTGTGTCAACTGTCTCCGTACAGTGAGCGGTTGAGTTACTCACTATGGAACAAATTCCCCATCTCCAGAGTTCCATAAGCACATAGATTTTGGTAGGTTGATTGTACTGGATGTTTTTATCCATGAGGGAGTATCCAAAGGGGGAAAAAGAAACCCATTTCCTTTCTGATTTCAAACTATGGGCCACTATTCCACTTATGAAGTTTAGGGCTAAGGTCAAGTTCTTGGCAAAAACTTACATTTCAGTAACTTAATGTTGTTTGCTGTTGGAAGAATTTGAATTTTATTCTGATGGGTGAGTGAGATAATACTAGTTCAAAAGTTCACAGGAACTGTTAATTGTCAGGGATTGCTGTTATGGTACAAAATGACACAAGTGGGAAATCTCCTAAAAACAGGTGTCAAAACATAACTCAGTTGATTTCACAATAATAATGGAGGTAATTTGACTTTTTCTTTGCAACCTATGATTTCTCAGGAAAAATTATGTATGAGCTATCAATCCAGTTATGGAAAGAAAATATCAAATTTGGATGACAAACCGTGTGTGTGTGTGTGTGTGTGTGTGTGTATGTGTATGTGTATGTATCCCAGTAAGTATTCGAATCCCAGTAAGGGTATGGCTAGCTGATGAGAGCTAAATAGCTTGAAATAGATCTATACTAGTCTCCCTTTATTTATTTATCAGCACAAATAAAGAAAACACACACACACATATATATGAATAATTTATTGACCACACACATTTCTATGCTCTTTACTGTTTAAATACATCTAAGAAATATTATACTAATACACTATCATCATAAAAATAAAAGCCAAGTTGAATCATCTATTCCTGATGAGATTGCCAATCTTCTATTAATTTAGTATCTCAAACTGTTTTGCTCTAATATGTGTTTTATTCTTTTAAGACAGCAATAATCAGTCAGCAGTAAACAATATTTTTCTCAACCTTATAATGAACTGCATTCAAAGCAACTTTTAGCTTATCTGCTTTATATTTTAATCCCTATGATTTAAAAAAAAAACCTGCTAACAAAAACAAGGGAAATTATGTCACCTTCCAAATCAAATTTCTCAGTGGACTTCGAGAGTTGGATTTCAACTCCTACAGCAATCATGGTTTTTGGTCATGCTTGTTGGGATTTATAGGAATTGGATTTTAATGTGTTTAACTATGCTAAACTAAACTAAGCTGGGAAGACTACAACAATCTGGAATCTAAAATTCAGGATGGACTTGGGCTATTAAAATTACAAGAAATTGGCATCCTTTATGCTATGGATTTTTAAAAATTTAACAAAATGATCTGATGGTGTAATGGACATCATTATATCTTAACAAATATAAAATGAAAAAGACAAATAGTAAGGCCATGAAGCTATGCATAATTCTGCCAAAGGCTATGAGAAACATAAAAAGTTCAGAATTTAACGACTTGTGCTCAGCCAAACTGAATTCTCCCACATAAATTAGATTAATGCAGATAGTATACTTATATTATGCCTCAGAACTGATACAATGCTAAACACTTAATTCACAAGAATATAGACAAAACGTAAGATGTCTAGTATTGTGAAATACTAGATTCCATATTCATAAGCACAGTGTATCTAAGAGATATCAGCTAAAAGTAATACTAAATCAGACTACATGCCTAAAAACTGTCCAGCAGTTAGAAAAATACATTTTTTCCAGGAGTTCAACGAGTTGTTTTCTAATAAGTATGTTTAAGCAGCTTTTCCCCTCTTTTTTCTCCATACAGGTAATCTTCACTTAGTGATTGTCTCATACAACAACCATTCACAGTTACAACATTGATGAAAAAGTAACCCCCCCCCCCCCATTTACAATCTTTGCAGTTCTTTAAGACAAAGGAAAGCTGAAATAAGATAATAAGCACAGTCACGGTTTTGGTCATCAATTGGTTTGCTTAATGGTCAAATTACTGGTCCCAAAAGATGAGGACTACCTGTATATTTTAAAAGGTAATATACAGATTAAAGACCTATTTCTCTGTTATACATCTAATCAATATATGAACAAAAAGAGCGAACAACTACTGAATTATTTAATAACACTCCGGTATTACTTCTTACATGAATAAAGAATTGCTCAACTTTCACATAATATATATAGAATATCCATATCTAGCACAGGTAATCCTCTAATTGTAACAGCAATTCAGACTGGGATTGCTGTCTCTAAGCGATGCAATCATAAAATGCAACATCACATGACTGCATTGCTTAGCAGCAGCAATCTAGACAGTCCCCCCTGCCATCATAGCACCAAATGAAAGTCATTTAGTGGGAAAAGGTGGGAACCCCAGGTAAGAATTGTAGGGAGTATTGGTGGGGGGATGGAAGACACCAGGAGAGGGCCAATGCAGGTCACACACAAATCATGAGAGGCCAGGAGAGGGTCTGGGAGAATCTGCGTGTGGGCGGGAATTTGCTGAGGGCAAGGGCTTCCCCTTTGAGTTTGCTTGTGGGAAGCCAGCAGGGTAGCCTGCAAATGACAATTGTGTGGCCATAGTTCCCTGCAATATTGAAACTGCAAGCTGAGCACCCGAGTGCCCAATAACACTTATGATCACTTTGCCACAAGAATGCCATGATGGCCAATACCTCAAAGACCGATGGTATGTCCATTTTTTTCAGCGTTGCTGCAACTGTGAATGGCTACTGAACAAATGGACATAGAGTGAAAACTAACTCTCTGTCAAGTAAAGCACAGGCCTCCTCTCCAAAATACAAACTCCTCCCCCATGGAATAATAGTGTCATACACTTAGCAGTCCTGCAATATTTGAGTTAAAGTTCTCCTATCAATCAACAGGGAATAGAAGCCAACAGAACTAGGCCATTATAAGGAAGGCGGTTGATTGTTCAGGTGATAGAATCATCTCAGAAGGAATAGGCACTTTAAGCAAATGAAGTATGTCAGAGAATTAAAAACCAATTGCTCACCTCTGTATTAATCCAATCCAAATTAATTTAATTCTACCTGATTAAAAACATTTTATTAATTTTAAGAATATACACTAAATGGAACATGACTGTATATATGAAATTTATATAATTGTTTTTGGGGGGTTATGGCGCTTGTGATTGATTTTTGTATTTTGGTTATTTACTAAAAACAATTTTATTGTTTTTAATTAGGTGAGACGCCCAAAGTCACAAATATGAGATGGGCATCTATACAAATTGAATTAATTAAATAACTGTTGTTATTGAGTTGGGCTTGCAATCCTGGTAACCTTTGAAAAATTACCATATTGGTAAGATGGGCGGAAGGACGGACGGACTGTGAGCAGTTCCAATACTACGGTATACTAGCAGCATGAGCAAAAATAACTAGTAGAGTTACCATTGACAGAAAGAGAAAACTAAAAGTAGTTTACAACAAGTATGAGGGCATTTGGGACTCTATGAATGGGGCGAAGGAAACCTATTAAAATTAGAAATCAAAGCAAAATGAATTCAATTGCAAACCCATTCTATACTAATAGCAATGAAACTATAAGGAAATGACTTTGTGTGTTACACACACATACGTATGTGTCACCCACACACACATCCTTGACTTGACAAATATCTAAATATACATATATTCATATAAATATATATAATCACTTGAGAACTAAAAAGTATAAATTTAACAGCAATGAAAAGAACCATTAACTGAAGAAGAAAATATGCTTTAAATACTTCAAATATACTTCAAATGGAAAAAGTAATGAGAAT